GAAGTTTTCAAGACTAGCCTTGATCTCTCTCAATTCCTTCCGTAGGTCCCTTTCAAAGGAGCTACGAAATTCGCGTAGATCTTGTTTAATTTCTTTTTCAGATCGTCACAGAGTTTTGCATGGTCAGCACTCATTTCAACGCTTCAAGCACAAGGACAAAAACACGCTAAAGACGCTAAAGGCAGCGGCGTCAGCGGATTGCTCAACGGTAAAACGTGTTAAGAAAGATATTGATTCCAACCTGTGAATGTTTGAAAGGTGTAAATTATGATGGTGGACGATTCGCTGCCGCCGCTGCCAAAGTGGTGGTCACAGCCCGCAGCCTCCTTTATGCTGGTCCTGGTGGTGGCGCTGTGTTGTCCCGTCCAATTCCGTCAAATGGCTGCGCAGCAGGATGTTGATTGCGCTTGTTGGATTCGGCACGTGGCAGATGGGTTCCGTGAATGACGATGTTCCAGTGCTTGTCGTCGATGTACTCTGTGAATGTTTGAAGGGTGTAAATTATGATGGTGGACAATTCGCTGCCGCCGCTGCCAAAGATAACTCCCCCCCCCCCCTTCCCCCAGGTAAAGAAACTGGCCTTTCGAAAGCACTCCTTCAGTATTCTCGTCATCACCACCGGGATATTAAACGGAGACAACCCATACCCGATTCCTTCGCGCACTTTATGCCTTACCTTTACTAATCCTTGAGCCACAATTCCTTTGTCAACCGCACATCCCGGAGAAGTGGTAAACCAATCGAGAAACCAAAAGCGGCTCTCGAAGGAGCAAATTCGAAGCGGCGTGGACCATTGTTGCAGGGTAACCAAAAATTATCGCGAAGTGTCAAAAAAGGTTAAATCGCTTGCCACCGGATGGCAGGGTAAAGCAGTGTAATTGCAAGTAGCTAGGCTAGGTGGCGCTAGGTACCGCCCAATTCATGTGCTACAAAAAATATATTTATTTGCTCAGGCTACCATTGCGCTATGAGCCCTGCGGGCACCCTTGCTATGCACACTGTTAGATATATTACGGAGACTACAAGCATCAGTTCAACATATACATTAAGCGCATGTACATACGCACGCACTCCACATACAAACATCAGTACAACATGACACTTAACCAATAACTACTTCCAGGCTCTCCGTTTTTTTTCTAATGTTTATACTCGTCGTATTGAAGGTACAGAATTTTTCGGTGACCACCTAAGCAATAATCAATATTCCTAGCATGTTGATTTTTACACCGGAGCTGTTAAGGGCTATTTTCCACAGTTTCGTGCCCTGTACCAAACGAAATGTCGCCACAAAACTACACAAAGTTCTGTACAGCTACCGCCATCTATGGACACACGATGGGTCGGCCGCGTGCCCTTTCTTCGGGGAAAGGAAACCGGGTGCGGAAGGAGCGGCGACGTACGCAGCAGTGCGAATGGATTCTCAACCGGCGCGAAGTCGCTGTCGCCTCGAGTTTCACTGCGTCGAGCGCTTCAGATTCTCTTGCGAAAGAAGAGCACATCGCTTGCCTCAAAAGCCGCCGCCAAGAACCGAAGCTACAGCTCCTCTGTTCTTCCTTCTTCACCACAATAAAAAGGCTAAAAGTTTTTTTTTTTTTGTCAGTAATGCTATAATTCTGACATTATATTGAGCTTCTCATGTAATGAAACTCTTTGTGAAAAGTAAACCTTCATGCCGCAACTATTTGAAAGCAAATAAAACAAGCCGCTCCAATCCGGTCCCAATCCGTGTATTGGGTTCCCCGCACGACACGTGGTAGGCAGTTTTGCTACTGTATTATTTAGTTATCTATTTGTGTTGTTCGCCTGCGGCTGCAATCGTCGTCTTGGATTAACCTCTGTAGAGAAGGTATTCACTCAGCTGTAAGCGATGTTTCGCGGACAGAGAAATCGCTTTCGATCAACTTGAATGCAGTGAAAGCCGCGACTTGCTCTGGGTATTAAATGTACACTACGCCGTGTTGAGCTCAAAAACATCTATCACTCATCCCAGCGCTCCACTTGGAGGGCAATATTTCCAGGAACCGCATTATATTTATACAAGAAAGCAAAGAATAGCCATTTTTGGGGAGCGATTTTACCTATCATATTTTCTTAATCTTAAAATTCCAAACTGTAAATAAAAGTACTTTCCGTCTCATTTCCATACTGTTCAGCCCTTTCCACAGAGCGGAATCGCTCTCGGGTAGGAGTCGACAGAATATCGCACACGGCAGTCACATTAGACACTGTGCGATAGCAGCTAAGGTTCAGACCAGCGCTCCAGCATGACTATCCGCAGGTCGATGCCCTCAAACGTAATCTCTCAAGCGGTGGTAAATCTCATTGATGTAAAGCGAAATGTCAACCTGCAATACATCGTCCCCTCTGATCACAGCCGGAACAGCGGCATCAATGCCCGACAGTTCGCGCCATCTCATCTTGTTGTTACATTACTGATACTCCAACACAGGGTCACATGGATGATAATTTCAGTATTCTCTTCAAAACGCACAACACTGCCATCGCGATAATTGTGCAATGTTGCTGACACGCAGAAATACAGAACCACCTTGACTGCCGGTTTGCACTCGGCATCGGAAAGCAGAATTGAACTCAGCACAGGAGGTACCCAGGCCCCAGGCTGCAAAATCTTCCTGTTTTGGACGCAGCTTCCGCGATTTCCATAACGCCGTTAACATTGATACGTCCTTCCGCAATCCGAAGTCGGCCTTCTTAGCCCAGTGTACGTAGCCCTGCTGACACTGCTCCGGAACTTCGCTGTGTTTCTGTGTTTTACCGGCTTCGATTGCTCGTATGATAAAAGTAGAGGTAAAAAACATCGATGCAACCGAAATGCTCTGCACGTTTGGACTGGGCGACAGAGTTACAGGTGGCCTTCGCTGGCGCTGAAGCTCAGTGAACTACCGACATTTATTAAACAACGAGCGCGATACGCACAAAAAACGAATTTGAAAGAAGAGGAGGCGGTAGGGCGAAACCCTTAATCCGCCTGCCTCGAGATGCAAAAAAACGCCTCGTTCCTCTCTTCTTCTCGTGTTCGGTTGGTGGTGCGTCAATAGAATGGAGGAAAACGCGCCGTTCCTACCTTTTTCCAACTTCTTTTAGCTTAGAGAGTAGGTACTAAAAATTAAAAATAATATGGTTTTATTTTTACCATGCACATCTTAGGTACCTTTTCTGGTCGTTTCACAAAGAAACTACGACAATTTTAAGATAAACACAGATTTTGTCATATATCTTGTTACATTTATCTGCATGAATGTAAGTTTTTCTATGGCAGTAGTGAAGTATAAGTAAGCTTGGTTTCAAAGAACTGCGGCCGCAGGAGCTCTTAGATTTTAGGCCCTTTTATTGGCTGGTTTTATATGACAAACGGATACCTCAGTTTACAAAAAGCCTTCCTCAACTAACAGTAAAAACATTTCTGAGTTCTAGAGCCTTGACAATATGATCGAGCGTATGTGATGGCTTTTTTCATATTGGCGAGTCAGTGCTGACGAAAGTGAAAGAGCAATCACAAGAGGTTGCAAACTGTTGCGTATTTTTTCCGATTATAATTTGTTACCAAGCTTCCTAAACACTGATTCTTAGCAATTACCTAAGTGCAATTTGCTGGAAGCATATATTTTATCATGTTTTCTACCAGAAGGTCTAAATGCTGTTGTCAAAGATAAGCAGAAATATTCACAAGGAAATCGAGCTACAATAAATTTGACTACTATTTTGATGTTTGATATCCTTGGCATCGCTCGATGTCACAGCGCATTTCGTTCTTATGAAATCACCTGTGAAACTCGACATGCCTCTTTGTACCTCCCCTATCTTGACTGCTCTCAGCCAAGTAGACAAACTCTTGATTTATGAAATTGTTATATTGTGCAACAAAGCACAAGAGGGTAATATTCCGAAGGAATGCGGATGACGAAAAACGGTTGCCTGTTTTTTATTAAAATTTTGCTCCATAGACACATTTGGGAGAGCCGGCACGTTGCTGAAGGAATCAGTCTTGCTTTCTACGTGTTAGTGGCATTTTATTAGACTAAAGGCCCGTTCACACTCTTGTGACCGAGTACGACAGAAAGAGACGAGATCTCTTAATACTTCTTAAATGTTTTTAGAATGAGGGAACACACTGGCATTGTGGCGCCATCTATGCGGTGACCCTGGAACTGCATTTCACACGAGCGAAGGTTTTGCGGGATTTCCGAGGTCAAATGTGCGTAATACCGATAGAAAGGCTCGTTTATGACATTGACAAAAGTTTTTCGAGCCAAGAAAAAAAGGACAATGCGCGAGAAATAAAAAAAAAAATATGCCGGACCGCCGAGTTTACACTGCTTCCCGAGAGATGACGCCAGTGCGTCCTCTGGAACAACCCAGGTTTAAGAGGTCGCAAGAGTGTGAACGGGCCTTAATCCGTGATTTACTTGCAACCTTCATGTAATATATTGCTGATCCTATTGGTGTTACGCGTATAAACTATTATATCAATAATAACCTGCATTGAGACGAGAATGAATAATTATAATTTTCACCTTGATCTGCATTGGGCAAGCGTTTCGTTGATTTTGACGTGTGGTCGATTGCTTCACTGCACGTTTAGGTAGTTTTTAGGTCTTTTAAATAAAGAAGGAGCATGTTTGTCTAAAGTAGACTGCTAAAGATCAGCAATGAAGCTTCATTCGAAAAGCTCGGGTTTTAATTTTGGCTCAACATGTAACGCTGATACACAACTAAACTAATAACCTTGCTGAAAATCGACATTCCATACCGTGTCTGGCAAGTGCGTTAGGGCCACTTACGAGAATTGAGGACTATAACGGCTCTATCAGTGCGCAGGGAGTGTTATAAAACCCTAATCAAATGTAATTCACTACGATAAAAGCTCTTTTACATGACAAGACTTTCAAAAAGTAATTAAATAAAAACTCATTTGCGGTTAAAACAGCTCTTTTTCATATGCGAATAACAAACATATTATGTGATCTTCAGAAAGCATGCGCTGGAGTACGCCTTGGTCATCGGGGCAGAGGCACATGCTTCCTCATGCTCGGCAGTTGGTGGCAATCTGGAGATTCTACTTGATTTTGTTGTTAGCTGAACTCAGCGCTGCAAAATCATTAATGGGTGAGTAATATAGTCAGAGTATCATTTGAAGACTTTTGCATGGTATAATGTAGACTAATTCATGCCTGTCAGCCTCAAACGTGTTACGAGTATAAGTAAAGAATTTAAAATATTAATATTAAAATCATTCATATCTTATCTCAAGATGAATAATTCAATTTCCTTTCAAATCGTACCAGATATGAGCCCCAAAAATGTGTGTGAAACAGATGCCTGCAAACAAAGAGGTGAGAATGCTTAGATGCAACTGGCACTTATCGTCCTTCGCCCGTCTTCAAACAGTTTCTAGTTCCTTAATGCACAACCAACTCGCGAAATTTTCAACAGTACAGCCACGTAACTGACTATTTATTGCAGCCACAGATCACGTTGGATGATTTATAGAAAGTAGTGATGAAGTCACCTTCGTGAAGCGCTCGTAAAAGTACCAAGTGTTTCTGTGTAAACAATTTTCTTATTGATAAGTCGTTCGTAATATAACAAACTGTGTCCTAATTGACAGTTATTTAGAATAACGCGCGCAGTTTAGGATCACGTTAGCGCTAAATGTAGCGCTTGCGTTAAGGCACACCACGCAAGAGTTTAGAATAGCTTTTCTCCGACGCGACCAAAACACCGAAACATCGCGCGCTTCCACCGCCTTTAAAACACAGTAACAATTTTTATTTCACACACCAAATAATATAATTAAAGAAAAAAATGTTTTTGGCCCCGAACAACACTTTAGGTTTGCTCAAGTATGAGAATGCGACGCGAGCGGTCGACAAATCGTGTCCGCTTGCGTCGTCTCGGTAAGAGAGGTCTCGTGCACCAACTTTCGCCACGTTCGAACACCGCACGTTTACCGAGAAACGTTCGAGCTACAAGCGGCCGGCAATCGTTGCCCACCTTGCTCGGTCCTCCAGCCTTTATCATGTTTGCTGCCCGCGTGTCTGTCGGTTCAGCATTCGCCCTGACTAAATAAACAAATTAAGGCGGTGATGTTTGAATGTTTACACAAGTGAAAGGTGAAGCCCCGCCTGCCGTACCTGTTGAGTACAATTCATTCTGCCCTTTTTTTAAACAATAGTTTTATATAATTTATTCTATTTGTTTCTTATCTGAGTTGGCATATTAGACTGCTGGCGTTACTTCTGATTTGTTTACTGGTAATTTCGCTTTATAAACTCATATTTCCTTCATAAAAAAGTGGTTGTTGAGCTCAAGCATATTTGTGGTTTATGTCACGATCACACGTGGGGTTGGATGTAGCGACAACCAGAGGCGTTGGATTCGGGAGGATTTGAAAGGGAAGCGTGGTGACGGTGAAGGAACTGTGAGTGGCGGAGTCAATCAAAGTTCACAAGGAAACGTTAAGAATTGAATACGGAAAAAGATTACTCTGCTCTGTTTGTTATCTTTTGGCTATCTTAATTGATTACCTCCTGCTTTGTCTTTCTCGTTAGTGACGTAATTATGTAGCATAATACTTGTTGTTCTGCGATAGATCAGGGTGCAGACCAAGTGCACCTCATTGGGGGTTTCGAGTTCCTTTTATTACCGCAGTTTATATTTTTGGTACAAGCTCATTGTAGAATTTTTATGCAGCTAAAATGATGTTGGACAGCATGAACCAGTCTGAGGATCCTTGTACTGACTTCCATGAATACGCCTGTGGGAACTGGAAAAAAACACACAAAATACCTGATGACGATACCCAAATCGGAATGTTTCATATTCTTCATGATAAGCTTGAAATGGACTTAAAAAGTATGTTTTCATTAAGGCTGTCAAACTAAAATATTTATATCGTCTTAAAAAATTCACTGTACCACTTGATTAGAGGCATAGAAAAAGTGAAATGTTCTGCCTAAACTTTGCTGCGGCCGGTGCCAATTTTAAGGGCGCTAAGCTTTTCATATTATCCTTTCTTTATATCTTGAGTCTTGATCGAATACTAGACAACGTATCTAAGAGGACACAGAGAATTTGAAAATTGTGTTTCATGGCGCAAGCTCATTCCATACGCTTTAAGAATCCTAGGAAAGCCAGAGTTGCCTTTTCTCTTTCTTAATAACGCGACCAAACATATCGGCAAATTTTTTTCTTTCGGGATGGATATAAGAATAAAGGGCAGGTCCTGATGTTTGGTCGGTTTAAAAAAGGTGGCGAATAAGTGTAATCTTTTGGTTTCTTCTATGCTTACTGGGCGCGTTGATTGACTTTGTGGCATGAAACGACAATCGCAAAATGCACTTTAGATCTCCTCGAGGGCAAGACAATGAATTTTGGGCCTCATACCATTTATAATTATGTCTATTTTTCGAGGTAAAGCAATCTTATATGCGTTCTTTTTTTTTGGAACTCCACCAGCACGTTTGTCACTAAACGCATATATTATTTAGTATTAGGGTGGACGTACCAAGCGCCGAGTATGCCAATTTTTTCCGTTCAGAATACAGCATTTAAGGTGTCCTTCAAACCGCAAGTGTAGCTTTGATGTTTCCTGCTTTTTTTGTTGTTTTGTTTGTTTTATTTATTTACTTCTGCGCCACTATGTAGGTATTAGCTTAACCACTTCCACGATATCTCCAGTAACGAAATCCAGGCTCTTCAAAATCAAGAGCATGTGCACTTTTATTAGGAGAACGAACTTTTAGAGTAACCTGCGGTTTTCTTTAGCGTATCAGACCAATATCTGCTAATAAGGATCTAACCGAGAAGCTCAGGAAATATTTCAGTAGGCCAGAACGAGACGCTTCTAAAACCCCAACGACTCTCCTTGTCGAAAACAATGAAATTTTTAATATCTAGCTAGTATGATCCCTTTAAATATAAGTATTATCCTGCTTCTCGAATTTAGTCTGCGATGCATATCTCTCTTATATTAATATAACTTGTTTGTCTAGTTGTTTGACCTTAAAGAGCGAAAAAAAATAATTCTCTCATAAAACTAACTTAACCGTGCGTGATAATGTGACTACGTACTGCGAGAATTCCGCAGCGTGAAAGCCAGTTTGAGTATTTCTTACTGAATTTTATTACAGTGTTTAATTCACTAAATATATATATATATGCATTGTATCAATATATTTTACGTTAAGGAGTAAACATGCAATACAAAAGTTTGCCACGTGAAAATCGCGGACTGTTACATGTTTTCTTTTAGAATAAGAGCGCAAAATACGACAAAAATACACCACGAATAAGTAAGGACTTTCTACTAACAGTTGAATCGAAACTGAAAAAAAAGGAAAACATTGCACCTGAGGGTGTCGATGCGCAAACGACCCCTATCTTTAGTCTTTCATCCCACTGTTCGGGGATCGGAAGAGGTTTCATCTTGTACTATCAAAATAAAAGTGTCGCCATAAAGTCGATCGTCATAATCCTTGTTTAGAGCAATTAGGTCGTGGTCAACATTCAAAACTCTAACTCGACAATCACTAATGTGATTGATTTGTGCATCCGTCCTTCCATTTTGTTTTCTTTGCTGCTTTTTATATTTGCCCAAAATATCAGTCTTATCATAGTCATAGAATTTCTATCGATTTTTAGTAACGATCCTGAACCCATGAGGTTGCGGCAGTAACCAATCAGAACACCGAATAACAAATACCGAGGCAAGAGGCATTGGAATAATAAGTCACGCCCTTCGTTTCTTGATCTAAAAATCACCATACCAACCTTGACTAGAAATGACATCAGAGACAAGCGCTTCTAAGTGTCGTGTGTCGCTTTGTTCGCGGTTGCAATGATTTCTTTTCTTAATGATTAATCAATGCGGAGTGAAAATTTGTCGGCTTCTTGCGCAGGGGTTACGATTACGTGAGAACGCCGAGGTTTTATTGGCTGATTGAAAACAGATTGTGGGTAGACCCAAAACCATCAAGCATTCAGGTCTACCCACTACATCCTTTAAATCCAATCAACACCAATAGGTGCTTGGCGTCGCTCTGGCATCACCGCAACCCTGTGCAAGAACCAGGCGACTTGCTTTTCACCTAACTTGCTCGGAACTCTCGTTATTGTTCAGGACTCAACAGCCAATCAGTGTGTGGCATCACGCGATAAAAACGCTGAGAAATAATCCCAATACTGGGAGTGTGAACAACATAAGTCACGCTTTGCTTTTCATAAGCGGTCGACGACCATAGACGCTTAGCGCTAACAAAATGTCCTTTGCCAGTTGCTAGCTCCGAAGAGGATCTTTTTTCAGATTATTTTGCAAGCACCCGCTACCGTTATCTCATGTTATAACACCCTCATAATTAAAGTCTCTTGAATGTTAACTGTAGGACAAGATCGAAAAAACGCGTATTAACATTGAGGGCATACACACATAAATGTCTAACGTAAAAAAAAAAAAACGACTTATCGCTGCGTCTTTTAATATCATGGCCACGCCATCTGGTGAACATGTTGGCAAATATATGCCATAAATCGTGATTTGTGGCCAGGGAATAAATGTGGAAACGTTATAAGACTACGAAATAATTTTGACTGCTTATAGCTTGATTTGAATGAAGTTACATTCTTTTTTACAACTTAGAGAATTGACATTGAACTAAGCTTGAATATCTTGAATATTTTTCTTATATCCAGATAGTTTATTGAACGCTACACTTGAAGGAAAAGAGCCTCAGAATGCTACTAATAAGGCTATTTTGGCCTACAGAGTCTGCGTTTGTGAAAGTACGTAAGTTTCTTGTTCAAGGTAAAGTAACTAATTGGTGGAGCCAGGATATCGCATTCCCTTTTTTTTTGATACCGAGTCCTCATTGGCGGCGAAGTGGCAAGATTCACGAAATGATCCAAAGCGCCTGCGGGGTGCACACGCGTGCGCTTTTGAGAGAAAGGGTCACGCGCTCCCTGGACGTTGGGAATATAAACCAATGCCTGAAAGTTTCAACTTTACCCTCAATCAACCGCCCTTTTTTTGGTACAACACCCGAAACTGTTACTGAACGACACCAAATCGGTGGGAAGGTAAACTCAGATACCCCCCCCCCCCCCCCCCCATTTTTGAAGAAAGATAAAACCCTTAACAGGGATGCCTAACTATAAATAGGCCAAAGACTTTCCAGTTTTATTATAAAAACCACCAATTAATATCCGTCGGTTTGAAGAACCCATTCCCCGTAAAAATAGAAACGCACCTCTCAACAACCGTTTGTGTCTAAAGCACAAAATATATAGAAACTAAGAAACATCAATTTCTAGACATCGCTTGTATTATCTCAGACTGTTTTTGTCAAGAACCTTCCCATCAAGAATTAACTCTTAGTTTTTCATTAGTTCTTCAACAAGAATCACCGTTTTCTTGTGTCCTTTTGGAATATATCGTACACACACAGTCGAAAATAATACACACTGAAAATCATCCACATTTTTTGTCTTTTAAATATACACCGGAAAATCTACGACGTCGCAATACACATCTGACGAAAATAAACCGCATTATTTTTTTTCCGAAATAGTTTAGCGCTTTATTTTCTACGGCTACTGAAGAGTCTAATCGTTTTTTTATGCTATTTCCACTTCGCACTGCATAGTGATGGTGAGAATTTACAGAACGGAAAGGGTTTGCTTTCCCAGCCAAGTTCATGTCAGTGCGCCTTAGTTCATAGAGGTCTACGTTATAAGTGACATCAGCAGCAATTAAAACCCACGGGCATTTCAAGCAAGCCTAAGGTTATAATATGTTGCCGCGCGCAGGGCTGAGAAAGCAACGCTCGGTCACGGACCTCCAGAAAGTTCCCGTTTATTCATGTAGCGCACGCACGTAACTTCTATTATTTATTTCCATGTATCTTCTGCTTTTGTTTTCTAGAAAGTGCGTGTTCATTCTCGCCCCGATCACGTGACGCTCGAACCGCTTTCGCCGAATCTTCGAGATAGCGACGTACTCTAGATAAGAGGCCGCCCGCGACCTTGTCGATTCAGTCTCGCCTCAGCGTTTGATCGTGCTGCTTCGCCGCCTTCGACGCCCGCGACGCTCTGTTGTTATCTTTCTTTTGTACCCTTTTATTTTTGGCACAAGTTCGCCACATTAAACGTTTATTTATTCCTGTTTATTTCTTATTTATTAGTCACCACCGGTGACATTTTGGTGGAGGTGCGGGGTACCGCAAGTTCGTGCAGCGCAGCGCCCCCAAGTTCCCGCACTGCAAGTCCGAACCCAAGCTCCCGAGGACCCAACGAAGACCAGGTCGAGACTCGATCAAGTCGCCGAACCCAAGGGCTACACCCGGAATACGGACCTTTACCACCCAGGACCAGGCAGCCGACGATGGCCAACCAGTCGCACACTCCCGCCGCTCCTGCCGTCGTCTACCTACCCGTCGCTCCTCGGACACCGGCTCCATTCCACGGCGAGCAGTACGAAGACGTCGAAGACTGGATTGACCAGTATGAACGCGTTGCCCGCCACAATTGCTGGACAGACGAGCAGCGCCTACACAATGTCTATTTTTCGCTTGAGGGGACTGCCAAGCACTGGTACGAGAATCATGAGTCCTCCCTGACGTCGTGGGACATTTTCAAGAACGATCTCAAGGCTACCTTCATCAACCACCACCGCCGAGAGAGAGCCGAGGACCTACTGCGAACCAGAACCCAGGGCCCCAACGAGAGTGTCACCGGCTTCGTAGAGGACGTCCTGCGCCTGAGCGCCCGCGCCGACCCTCGGGCTACAGAGGAGAAGAAGCTACGAATCCTCATGCGGGGCGCGAGAGAAAACATCTTTGGTGGCCTTGTCCGCAGCCCTCCGACAACTGTCGAAGACTTTGTCGCCGAGGCAACGAACATCGAGCGTGCCCTGCAAGCCCGAGCCAGCCACTACCAGAGGCTACCCGGCGTCAGCGCGGTTCCGCCGTCCGCTTGCGACCTTGGCTCCAGCATCCCAAGCATTCGCGAGATCATTCGCGACGTCGTCCGGGAGGAGCTGCGAAAGCTACTACCCGCCGCGGACCGACCAGCTTCGCTCTCCATCGCTTAGGTCGTGCGGGAAGAGGTGCAGAGAGCCATTCAACCAGAGGCTCCCATCAGCGCAGCAGTCTCCGAAGAACCCGCGCTAGCTTACGCCGCAGTGGCCCGACGGCCACCGCCTCCTCCTCGCGCCTATGTCGCGCCGCCCCGACGCCAGTCTCCTGCGCCGCAGCACGACCGACGCCACGACGACCAGCCCCAGTACGCCAGCCAGGAGCCCCGTGCACCCCGGAAGACCGATGTGTGGCGAACGCCCGACCGACGCCCTCTGTGCTTCCACTGCGGGGAGGCAGACCACACCTACCGCCGATGCCCATACCGTCGACTCGGGCTGCGCGGATTCCACCCAAGCGACCCGCGCCCCCGGTATGGTGAACGCCCTCGGGAGATCAACGAGTACCTGCGACGACCCCAGTCCCCCGAGCCTGCGTCCCGCCGAGAGTTCCGGTCGCCGTCACCGCGACGTCCAGCTTCGCCGATGCACCGACCCCGACGTGAAAGCCTGTCGCCCCTCGCTCCTCGCCGGGGAAACTAGGCGCGGCAACCCCTGGAGGTGGAGTTGCCGAAGACGACCGACGTAAAGAGCCTCCACGAACGACGGAGCGCTCCCACTCTCCCGACGATACCCATCACAACTACGCTCCTGCTTCGGTGTCCAACAACTTAAACGTTGTTATTGACGGCCTCGACTCATCGGCACTCGTGGACACCGGAGCAGAAAACTCAGTCTTGAGTGGGAGGCTCTCTCGCCGCCTGCGAAAAGTCATGACGCCGTGGGATGGACCCCAAATACGAACCGCCGGAGGACATCTCATCACGCCAGTCGGGAGATGCACTGCTCGCGTCGAGATCCACGGTGAAACGTGCCCTGTGAAGTTCGTCGTTCTGCAAGACTGCTCAAGGGACGTTATCCTCGGAATGGACTTTCTCTGCGAGTATGGCGCCGTCATCGACCTCGGGGCAAACCAGTTGACGCTGCGGAAACCTGTTTTACCGCCGGTGGAGACCAGCACAACATCAACCGCGATCCGAGTTATCGCCGACCATGTGAATCTACCGCCGCGGTCGAGTGTTTTCGTCACCGTTATGGCCGACGCCGCTATGCACGGTGAAGCTCTTCTGGAAGGCAGCGTCCAACTGCTCCTCGAAAAAGGAATTGGCGTCGCAAGAGGCGTAACGGATCTCCAAGATAGACGTACAACTGTTCTTGTGACGAACTTTCGAGAGGAGCCGCAGCACCTAACGAACGGTACCACCGTGGGCCACGTCGAGGAGCTTCAAGCGCCAGCGGTGGTCACCGCAATCTCCGAGGAAACCTCGTCGCCACAGCAGAAAAGCACGACGCCGCCGCCGCTCGACATTGACCCCGAGCTCCCAGCTACGAAGCGCCGGCAACTGATTGATCTCCTTGCCGAATACAGTGACTGTTTTGCCACGACATCAAAGATTCGCCAAACACCAATGGCGAAACATCGCATTGTTACCGACGACGACGCACTTCCTGTCCACCAGTCGCCGTATCGGGTCTCCTTAAAGGAAAGGAAAGTGATTCAAGATCAAGTCCAGGAGATGCTCGACGACGACATCATTCAACCCTCAAGGAGCCCATGGGCGTCCCCAGTCGTCCTTGTAAAGAAGAAGGACGGAACCTTGCGGTTCTGCGTGGACTATCGTCGACTGAACGCCGTGACAAAGAAGGACGTCTATCCGCTCCCCCGCATCGATGATACGTTAGACCGACTGCGCCACTCCCGATATTTTTCGTCGATGGACCTGAAGAGTGGTTATTGGCAGATTGAAGTCGACGAACGTGACCGGGAGAAAACTGCCTTCGTCACTCCCGACGGACTATACGAATTCAAAGTGATGCCGTTCGGACTTTGTACAGCACCAGCCACCTTCCAGCGCGTCATGGACACCGTGCTGGCAGGTCTGAAATGGCAGAGCTGCCTCGTCTACCTGGACGATGTCGTGGTATTCTCACGAGATTTCGACGAACACCTCAGACGACTTCGAGCCGTGCTACAAGCCATCAAGACCGCCGGCCTGTCACTCAAGCCAGCAAAGTGTCGGTTCGCCTATGGGGAACTAAAGTTCCTTGGCCACGTCGTGAACAACAAGGGTGTTCTACCTGACCCCGAGAAGACCCGCGCCGTAGCTGCATTTACGCCGCCGTCTGACAAGAAGGCCGTGAGAAGATTTCTCGGGCTCTGTGCCTACTACAGGCGCTTTGTTCGAGACTTCGCCAAGCTATCCGCACCGCTGACACACCTCACGAAGGACGCCGTAAAGTTCGAGTGGACAGAAGAACACCAGAGGTCATTCGACGAGCTCAAACGAAGACTCCAGACGCCCCCGATTCTTGGCCATTTCGACCAGTTTGCTGAAACCGAGATCCACACCGACGCCAGTAACACCGGACTGGGTGCGCTACTAGTCCAAGTGCAGGACGGAGCCGAGCGAGTTATCGCATACGCAAGTGGACGCTGTCTAAAGCGGAGAGGAACTATTCAACGACCGAAAAGGAGTGCCTCGCTGTCGTATGGGCAATAACAAAGTTTCGCCCATATTTGTATGGAAGTTCTTTTCGCGTAGTCACAGACCACCACTCGCTCTGCTGGCTGGCGAATCTGAAGGACCCCTCCGGACGCCTCGCTCGGTGGAGCCTACGACTGCAGGAGTTCGACATGGCCGTGGTGTACAAGTCCGGCCGGAAGCACAATGACGCCGACTGCCTGTCAAGGGCCCCAGTCGAGGCCGGTCCTGCCTGCACCAAAGAGGACGACGATGAGTGTTTCCTCGGCGCTCTGGATGTAAGCGACATGGCAGCACTCCAACGAGACGACCCTGAGCTGCGAGCACTCATCGAACACCTAGAGGGGCAAGGAAGCGCCGTTCCCCGCGGTTTTGTTCGAACACTGCCAACCTTCTCCATCCGACAAGGCGTACTGTACAAGGAGAACTTCAGCGACAGCAACACGGCGTGGCTGTTGGTGATCCCTTCCAGTCTTCGAGAAGAAATTTTTCAAGCCTGCCACGATGACCCGACGGCGGGACACCTTGGTTACAGCAGGACCCTTGCGAGGATACGCGAAAAGTACTACTGGCCCAAGCTTGCGAAGACAGTACACCACTACACCCGATCTTGCCACGAGTGTCAACGAAGGAAGAAGCCACCGACGAGACCGGCAGGACTTCTTCAGCCTATTGCGCCGCCATCTGCCCCATTCCAGCAAATCGGTATGGATTTACTCGGACCTTTCCCACCGTCGACGCAAGAAAACCGATGGATAATCGTCGCAACCGATTATCTCACGCGGTACGCCGAGACAAAAGCCCTTCCATCAGGAACGGCTGTTGAAGTCGCCAAGTTTTTCATCGAGTCCATTGTCCTCCGGCACGGCGCTCCCGAAGTCCTGATCTCAGACCGTGGATCATCATTCATGGCCCAGCTGACGCAAGAAGTCCTTCGTCTCAGCCACACCAGCCATCGTCGCACCACGGCGTACCACCCGCAGACCAACGGGCTGACGGAGAGACTCAACAAAACCATCGCCGACATGATCTCCATGTACGTCGACGTGGAGCACAAGACATGGGACGAGGTGTTGCCGTACGTCACATTTGCCTACAACACGGCCGTACAAGAGACCACCGGAGTGACACCCTTTCAACTGGTGCATGGGCGCAAAGTAACGACCATGCTGGACGCGATGCTGCCCCATTAGCCAGCTGACAGTGAGAGCGACGACGCCCAGGTGGTTGCTCAACGGGCCGAAGAAGTCCGCCAGCTCGCCCCACTCAGGATTCAAGACCAGCAACGCGCCGACGCGGGCCGCTATAACCTTCGTCGCAGGGACGTTCACTTCCAGCCCGGAGACAGTGTGTGGGTTTGGACGCCCATCCGTCGCCGCGGCCTCAGTGAGAAACTGCTGAAACGGTACTTTGGACCATACAAGGTACTTCGTCGCCTCGGCGAGCTGAACTACGAGGTGATGCCCGACGGAACACGAACATCGTCACGCCGCCCACCACGACCTGAGGTCGTCCACGTCGTGCGCCTGAAGCCGTACTACGCTCGATAGGACTGTGGACCTTATGTGCATGCTCCAAAAGACTCTTGAGTTTATCGTTCTTTTTTATTTTGTTTTGTTTTACACTGCATCGGGGCGATGCACTTTTAAAGGGGGGAGTAATGCCGCGCGCAGGGCTGAGAAAGCAACGCTCGGTCACGGACCTCCAGAAAGTTCCCGTTTATTCATGTAGCGCACGCACGTAACTTCTATTATTTATATCCATGTATCTTCTGCTTTTGTTTTCTAGAAAGTGCGTGTTCATTCTCGCCCCGATCACGCGACGCTCGAACCGCTTTCGCCGAATCTTCGAGATAGCGACGTACTCTAGATAAGAGGCCGCCCGCGACCTTGTCGAGTCAGTCTCGCCTCAGCGTTTGATCGTGCTGCTTCGCCGCCTTCGACGCCCGCGACGCTCTGTTGTTATCTTTCTTTTGTACCCTTTTATTTTTGGCACAAGTTCGCCACATTAAACGTTTATTTATTCCTGTTTATTTCTTATTTATTAGTCACCACCCGTGACAATATACTTTGCGCGTTTTCCCTGCTGTCATTCACAAAGGGTAGTTTTTAAAATGAGGGTTGCATAGATTTGTTTGTGAACTATAATTACCAAATTCACCGTGGAATATCTTAACACTTTCAGATATAATGATTCCGCACATAAAAAGCTCACATATTATATTGTTCGCTCGCACTGAATTTAGCAAAATGCTATAACTGTAGTAAATTTAAATGATACATTGGTAGCATACACATGCTTCGCGGGTCAAATCCTAACAAATAAATTGTCCACACCGATGGATTGATCTAAGACCTGCCCTTTCAAAACATGCACAAATGGCCTTTTACATTTTATCTTTGCCCATGAGGCAACACATTCACGTTATGATGGACATAAGAAAAAATCTCATATTCGTGCCGTTATGTGTTTTGTTTTGAAATGGATATTTAAAGCTAAGCTCTTTATGTTTTGTTTGATATTTAGGGTTTTAATAGGAACTTTCGATTTTCAAGCAGTTTGGAAAAAAATTCAAAATGGGTTGAATCATGATTTAAATGTGACCAGTTGTACGATGACAATTTAAATCGAGCATTCCCCGCAGAAATATTTGTGAAGATATGAATTATCCACCGTTCATCTATCATGTGAAGCTTTCTGTGTACACTGTTTTGTGCTGAAACCAAAGAATCGATCAAGCAAGAATGATTCATATCAGGCTGAACACGAGCAGAAAGCAGTTCTCGTCTGAGCACTGCTTTCGATTGCTTCCTATCATCCACCCCGTTCCTCTGTTACGTAGATTCGTACTGAAAACGAACCAGAAGACGAAAGAAAGAAGGAAGGAAACGAAAACTAGGAAAGTCATGACCCACTGCAAGCGAGCGAGAATTCGAAAAAAAAATATATAGAGGATTTTAGCCGGCGTAAGAAGACAAAATGTTCAATGTTCTACTATGGCAGAGTTTACATAAGTAAAGAGTTCTTGATTAACCTGTGCTTTAAATTTACAGTAATTATTTATTCTGCATTGTTATTAGTCTAATTAGTCAATCATTGTGCCAAGTTTAAAAATGTATTTAGTGATATATTCACTATTTTTAGCTACTCTCACTGAAATCAAATTAATCTGCTTTAAATAAAATAAATGTCCAGTTTTCTTCTTTTTTTTTTACTTCGCTAAGAAGTGACATAAAAGTAAGCGCAAGCTCTAAACATGCTGGACCTGGTAGAACCCGGTGGAAGCAGACATTTCACTATTGAAAGAATCTAAACATATTTATTTATTATTAATCATATCCAGCGAGGTTATTCAAACTAAAGACACTAATGGTCGTCATAAAAAGACAGGCGTCAACTCGAACAATTTACAACATGCCTACATCTCGTGTACCAACCAAACTTCTGTCCATTTTGATTTATTTTAATTTAAAGCTCGATGGCACTGTCTTCCGTATATTTTTTTTAATATTTGTAAATAACGTATATAGTCCTCAGCGTTAAACGGAAGCAGAAGCTATACGGTAGACAGCTCCTCAACCTATTTGGGCAAGAATATATATCCTAATTTAGCAAATTTATATTTTCGCAAAATATAGCCAGGCCTTCTCCCTGAAAGTAAATATACGCATGATATATGATAAACATGCTCCAAATAATGAGCCAGATTACGGAAATACTAGACTATCTGTGAGTTTTTTTGTTTTTTTTTCGCAGAACTGCGTCTCTTTACGCGCGTGGAAGGGGGTGCAAAGTAAGGAAGTTGATGTCACGAAGACTTGGTCACGGAAGTGACGTCGTGCACTTAAGATAAATTTTGAAAGGGGTGCAAGGTTTAGAAGACGATGCCACGAAAACTTGGTCACGGAATGTCACGAAAACCTGGTCACATAAGTGACGTCACGAGCGTCAAACCATATTTGAACGTGGTACAACAATGACTCGGCAAACATGCTATCGCGACCGACACGGAGGCGCCGACGGCGACTTTTATCCGTGTGTGCTTTGCCCGAAAAATATTTGTAACGTGTGTTTGAAATGGCCCCATAGCTCACCCAGTATTTGTCCGCCGATTTACTTCTCACGCCATTCCGAAAATACGAATCGGAGATGACGGTGCGGGGTGCTGTAAGATTGCTTCAACGGGACTCCGAGCCACACGGATTCACTTCTTGCCAACGCTGCTTCTTGCGCACCAACCATCGTCATGCGGCACGAGTCCGTGAACCTATCTCCAGCTGCCAGAAGCAGCCCATATGGAATGAGTTGACAAAGCACGGTCTTTCTTACATCCACCCCAAACCTCTCATTTCTCGTGCCATCCCACCGTAGTTCTAGAGAAATTAATTCAGCGTCGTACACCTATGCACCGACCAGATGTTTCAATTTGTTGCAGTCTCGGGTTTACTAATATGTGGCATTCTCTCCGGATGCTACCAAAATAACAGTAATGCGGTATCAGTTGAGATCATTTGCTTATTTTCCCACATTCGTGAATCTCGGCCTTAGCGCGGTGCTATCGGAGTGCCTCGGTACGAGAAAGCTAATTTTGGTTTTCTCGCAATACTTATCGGGAAAACGCTGTCAGCTACACAGAATGTGTAAATTGAATTGGTGTATAATTACACACCATTTTAGGATTGCCCGCTAGATTTTGATGTATTTAGACGCGACGGTGAACGGCCGTACACTATCTCGCGGTTGTGAGACGGTAGAGAGGCTCTTGCATTTAAAAGAAGCTTTGTCAACATATCACATGTACCTCACCACATTTCATTATTTTTGTACGTCACACAGCTGTCAACGAAACAGAGAAATTTAATGACCTGCTGAAGGTACTTAAGGGAGGTGGCTTTTCCAAGTGGCCACTACTGAACGAAGAAGAATCACCTTACAGAAACTACACTCAGCTACTCGACCAATCAAATATTTTTCCATTTGTTAGTTCCTCAGTATCCCAGGACTCTAAAAATATTCAATCAAACGTGATTTACGTAAGTATAAAACAGCCTCTTTTAAATCCCTCTTGATTCCTCACAACCCCTTCGTATGCGGGCAGTGTTGCCCGACATTAAAGCAGCCACGCGGGCGTTCAGTTATTAAGGATGGGAGCAAAACAGAAGGTTTCTAACAGTATACATTCAAATGGCGGAGCCTCCCCAACCTCTGGACCGGGGTTGGTAAGATAGTCAGTCCTCTCTGGTAGCTAACGGACTCGAGAGCCAGTTTTTTTTCCCCGCTATCTTCGCATTATTTTACAACTAACTGCGTATCATCGCATCATTTCATTGAATTTGGTTTTACCCGTCAAAGCATTTCTTGCACCTTGGACATTGCGCGTGTCCAAGCACGTAAAAGGACAGCTATTGGTTTTGTCAACGGAAGCGACATATGCGTCATTTTCTTGGCGGGCCTATCCGAAAATGTATGAAAATTCCTGATTCATCTAGACGTCTGTGCACATTGTTAAGAAATCCGGAGGGTATAATTTCCGGAAAGCCCTTGGAAGTGCCCATTGCTGCAATGCCAACTTGTACTAAAGCGCAGCGCCGCAGGAAAAAGGCACAACCCGTCGAAAGAAAGTTTCACCCGTCTCGCGGCGTGATCAAAGCTTCCATGCCTACTTACTTTACTATGGCGACTGTATTAATATCTTGCGGCACTCGCAGTCCAGAAAGGAGCCTGATTCAGTGGCGACGGAAGAGAGGAGGGGGACTTTTCGGGGGGGGGGGGGGGGGGGGGGCGACAGCGAAATAATGAACCCGAGCATATGGGCCGGGTTTCAGAAAATTTTCTATCTCGTCATGCTTTTGTGTTCCAAAACGTACCTTGCTCCACAGCGTTGTTCTATTCCTGCTACCATGTGGTCCATTCTAGTGGATTTGGAAAATAGCCATGTTTAATAGTGCCTAATAGTGACCACGTATATTTTCCCCCTTTATTGATAGGAATTTGCGCAGGAACATCTGGGCGGTCCAGAACTCCGCGGCCAATATGTGCTGCAAAAACATCGAAAGCGACACACATTCAAAGTTTGCCGCGGCGTCGATTCTTGATCGGTATCCAAGCGTGCAAAGGCACAGAGACGTAGGACTTTGGCGTGCCAAGGAAGCTTCGATCACGCCGCGAAACCGGCGAAACTTGCTTTCGACAGCTTGTGGCTTTTTCTTGCAGCGAAGCGCTTCCGTAAACATTTCCAAGTGTTCTCAAAGTCACTTTTCACCTTTACACGAAGTTTAAAAACCTTTTCTGCGAATGACGACAAACGAGCAAAAACCGTGTCTTCAGCTGGCTGCTGCCAGCTTCTGGGATTCTCCAAAAGTGCGATTTTGCTGCATGCAAAATGGCCGTCCGGTGGCTGTACTCGCCGAGGAGGGAAGCGCGATCCAGCAACTCCTATTGATATCAATGGTAGCGCAGTGCAGATAGCAGCTGGGCCACCATTGGTACCGAACGTATAGCGACTGGCAGTACTTCGCTTTAAAACGCACTTTTTATGTCCAAAACATAAAGTATCCAGAATAAGACTAAAACAAGTAAAACCGGCGCATATGTTCTTGTCAAGGATGGGCAGTATTTCAAATACAAGTGTTTACAATACGTATTTCAAATACTTTGTGTATTTTGCATTTGTATTTAATTACGAATTGGGTAATGTATTTGACGTGTGTATTTAAATACTAAAACGTGGGTATTTCAAATACAATTGTAATTAAATACAATTTTGTGGGCGAAAATACATCCCTCATATCTATTGTCACTGTTCAGAGCAGGAAGAAAACTACGTCCTGCACCGAATGCAGTGTCTCTCTGTCAAGCACAAGCGTTTGGTGACTGCGATTACGGTGCTAGTCCAGGGCGAGAATTGTGACCAAATCGACGTTCACAGGCAGACTGGCTAAATAAGTGCCTGTGACAACTTGTGATGCTTTCCAGCCTGATTTCCCTCCACATTTTTGCCTGGAACATTCTAAATACGCGGGTCGTCGAGATTTTTGTAACTGGTGCGAGTTGCAACAATTCAAAATTCTCTAGCTAATGCTGCGCGTCTTGGTCGTCTCGGTTCTTTGTTTGTCTATGCCAAAATGTAATCGACAAGAAAAGCTGCTTGGAGCTTTGTGCTTTTTTCACCTACTACGCTCAGGCTGATTACATTTTTTTTTGTGATTATATTTCCATTACGTTACTAGAGCCTCGCACACTAACTCCCGAGTGTGCAATGCAAAATTATAATGCGATTCCCAGAAACCCGTTTCAGGTGCCCTGAAGTCGCTGACGCAGATTTTGAGGAATGCATTTGAAAAAGTATTTGGAGGAGACCAAATACATTTGGTTGTATTTGTATCTTGTATTTAGATACTTTATTGGAAATGTAATTCGATTTGTAATTAAATACATTTTTGTCGAAGTATTTTGTATTTGTATTTCGATACATATTTGCATGTATTTTGCCCATCCCTGGTTCTTGTGTTACCATTATACTACTACTAGGGCATTAATGTCGAAGAAAACATTACCGCAAAACGTATATGTTCACAACACTAGAAACGCAGTGTTTACTTTTCTTTTCTATCCGAACACGCGGAAATTTAAAAAAAAAGGTATCGAAGTTGTTTTAATTATTAATTATGTAGAGTCTATATAAATTCATTTAAAAATTCAAATGCAACGGGGACAACTTCGCTGCAGCAACTAGAGACGCACGGCGTGTCAGTTCTGGAGAAAACTTACCGCAGAACGTATGTGAACCCTTGAACACCGTAACGAAGTTCTTGACATATAGCAGCAAGGTAGAGGGCCCTAAAGCGATAAACTGGCAGCCGAAAGTGGGCCGCAGCCATGTTGCACATTCTTGATCTCTAGACAGATTACCTTATAGCTTTACGTCTAGATTTTAACGAAGTACCACGCACAAATAATTGCTTATAGATCTGTAATAACAGTATCGACGGGATAAGGTATGTTTTGTTCGTTTTAAGTCCAAAATGTGCCTTTACGACAAACACTCGGGCAGCTTCACGATGCCTCTGCTAGATGTCGTCAACCGGGTTGCTGTATTTAGGGTTTTTATCGGAGCTAGACACTGATCTCGTGTGCTAACAGTATTGAAAAAATAGTTCCTCATATTTTTACAGCAATCGAATGCAAATCTCGTCTCATTTTTGCGGAAAAGCCTCATGATTTGGTACGGTCCCGTTTCTAGTGATCAAATTGTACAACATGACTGCAGCCAAGTAGGGGTCAATTTTGCCTGGTGAATGGGATACCAGTTTATTGCTCTAGGCCCCTCTTCCTCATTGACATAGATGCGCAGAATCAAGGACATTTAAATAGTTAAGGACCCGGCATGAGGTCATGCCTACCGACGCCGGAAAAAGAACCAAATCCCAGACTGCATTGCGCACCGACGCGCTTTCGTCCAACCTAAATCCAACCAAGCTCCAATCGTCTGCTTGCTGCTCGGTCGACTGCGTTACGCTACATCTGCTCCATGCCTGCGGTCTGCTTTGTGTCCGAAACCAGCAAGGAACCAAGACGACGGTGTGAACCAAAGAAACGTCGAACCTTTAATGGCGGCAAGGGCGCTCGTGCCTCGAGTCTCTGCCGCCCCAACATGGGGTGGCAGAGTTGCCAGACCACGTTGCTAGTTCTGTCGTTAAACCCCTTTCTCTTAGTGCAAAACAGCAATATTATAGCCAAGGCTGATGAAGGAAAGCTTCACTGTACGTGAGCCTCTGAGATCGACGACACACGCGTTGTTGCGGCCTTCTACTAAAGTCCACCGGCGGCACAGTAACTAACATTAGAGCTGGAAGCACAGTCGCTGACCCTGGGGTCGGTGACCGAGTCGCTGGCCCTGGGAATGCAGACGCCGTGTCCATCCCGGTAGGCTGGTCCCCAAATGAGAGTCTGGATTTTGGAGACAAGCATGCGTGGTCCTCGATTTCGCTGTTTTCCCCTTCAGGGGTAAAGTTCTCCGGGGTTGGAATGGATTTGTCGTCGGTTCCTTCGCAGTGTTCTGCCCACTTCCGTGATGACCTGGTAGGATCTTGGGGCCACCAAGTCCTGGAATTTAGCCTTCTTTGCCCAGGAAATATTTTTCCTGAAGCGAACCACCTTCCCTGCAGGGAGATTGAAGCGGTCTTCTGCCCCGGCTGCTTTGCTGACGCTTGTGCACTGCATTTGGAGCCGGTCCAGTGAAGTCGGGCAGGCTCGACCTGATTCTTCTTCCCATCAAAAGTTCATTTGGTGATCGGCCGTCTTCCAGAGGTGAAGATCTGTAGTTGAGAGGTCCTTGCTTGTAATCTTCTTGTGCATGCTCCGATTTTTTCGTAATCTTCTTGACTATCTGAACGCCTTTCACGGCTAGACCACTTGAGCACGGGAAGTTTGGACTCAAAGTGCCGTGCCGAAAGTCGTATTTGAGCGCGAAAGCCTAAAAATCGGTAGAACTAAACTGGGGCCCATTGTCGGAGCACACCTCGATTGGTAGTCCATGCCTTGCGAAGATCGCCGACAGCGCACTGACCACTGCATCTTTCGTGGTATGTGTAAGGTGCTGAAGCTCCGGGAAACTGGAGTAGGCGTCAAAATCAACTAGGTATGTCTGCGCGCCATACTGAAATAAGTCCACACCAACGCGCTCCCATGGGCGAAGCGGCACTGCTCTCACCGACAGTGGTTCTGCTGGTTGTTGATATGCATGATGCTTGCACATTGAACAGTTGCTAACTATTTGTGCAATGGTCCGCTGACATTCCAGGCCAAAACATTCGAAGACGGGCCTTTGCATTTGTTGACTCCCAAATTACCATCATGTAACCTTCTATGCATCTCTCCTCTGAGGCTCTTCGCAATAACCATATATTGTCCTTTAAGAGGACTCCTTGAACGACAGACATTTCTTCGGCGCATCCCCTGGAGGTGGATGACTGAGGCAGCGGTCGGTGATCCTGAAGGCCGTTGATGACTTCCGGCAATACCTTGTCCCCAG